CTTTTGGCTATATCTAAATCGATTTAGGTAGTTTTTAACTGTTTGAAGGGATTTAAGTATCCCTTTAATCATATCCAAAACATTCACGCATTTACATTTTACACTTTATACATACTGATGTGGCCACGTCCATACACAAAGACCATGCATACATATCTCTCCTTTTGCCTAGGTTATGATTAGTTTTTTGAACTGAAACTTCTTTAACAGAACAACTCCAGTCAATCTTTGAATTAAAACAAAAGGTTGAAAAAGTCCTGTATGTCCCTCATCATTTCTTCATTAGAGAAGTTTTGAGCTACACTCAGGGGCTACAGCCATACCCACTCCTTGTAATTCTGTAGATGCAAAGTGGAAAGGCCAAGCTTTTGCCAAAAGTTTTTAGAGATGACTCACAAAATTGACCTTAAATTTGTATCAATAACCTACCCCATATAAATGTAACCAAATATTTTTATTTTATATACCTTTGTCTTTTTCTTTACTGAATACTAATACCTCATTTATTAACTGTTACCAATTTTTTTAAATTTACCCATCTTTAATCTATCCTCCCATTGAGGATGATCCTCCAATCCACCCTCCAACTGAGGGCAACTTTTTATCTTTGGTTCCCTTTCTTTTCTGACCTTTGTTAGGTGAGGGCCTAGACATTTAATCCAATCCACCCTTCGATTGAGGGTGATCTCTTAGGTTCCCTTTCTTACCTGACCTTTGTCAGGCAAGGTCCTAGACATTTAATCTGGTACCCTAGCTTGGTACCCCCTTTTTAATACATACTTATATCCTTACTTGTTGGCTATCCTTTTAGATATCTGAGTTTCTCTTTACTTTCCTGACCTCAGTGGATCAGGTGAAAGACTGGCCTTATTTATTAACTTTACCATTTTTTTTAATTTATCTATCTTTAATCCATCCTCCCATTGAGGATGATTCTCCAATCCACCCTCCAACTGAGGGCAACTTCTTAGGTTCTGCTTTTCTTTTTTGACCTTTGTCAGGCAAAGGCCTAGACATTTAATCTGGTACCCCTATCTTGGTACCCCCTTTTTAATACATCCTTATACCCTTACTTGTTGGCCAGTCTTTTAAATCTCTCAGTTTTCCTTTACTTTCCTGACCTTAGTGGATCAGGTGAAAGACTGGAGATTCTTTATTTTATTTCTTATTTTACCCTCCTCTTTTTTTTTTTAAACTGGGTTTCTCTCTATCCTTTTGGAGGCTGTCCTGGAACTCGCTCTATATACAAGGATGGCCTCCATCCTACCTACCTCTGTCTCTCGAGTGTTGGGATTAAAGGCATATGCCACCAACACCCAACTCAAAAGATAATAGCGAACATCCTGCCAATCTGGGACATTTAAGCCTCCCCAGTAATGAACCATGTACTGGCACGTTCAATCCATTTTAAAAAGCCTTCCAAGGTTTTAGACTTTACTGTAGTCCCATGTCCTTCAAGTAACTTTTTAACTTGATACTGTAACTCAAGCTTCCCAGAACTATTCCCCATGTTTTTTTTTTCCTTTTTTCCCCAATCTGTCCCAGGCCAGAAAAAGAGACGAACCCGCTCACTTACCTTGCTTTCACAATCTCGGTGGGATCCTCCAATTGTCACACCTGCTGTGCAGCCAGCATCTGAGAATGTAGCGAGGTGGTCAGGATAGATGACACAGAGACCGATTGGTTGCTTCAAGAAAACTTTATGCTCCCCAAGTCGGCTTAGGAGAAGACTCTCCAAGAAAAAAAAACGCTTACCATTTTAAGGTCTTCTGCCATCCATACAATTCTCCAACAACTCTCCCAGACTTCTCACCCTCCTGGCTGGTGGTTTAATCTCTGGCCCCAGAATCGAGGAGAAACAGCAGGGGGAACAGGAAGAAACATCTAGCCATAGGGGGTGTCAAAGTCATGGTGTTTCAGTGAGGGAGCCCTTATCTGAGCCCTATCAAGAGCTTTATAGCACTGAATTGTTTTCAGTAAACATTATCTCACAGCTGCCTGCTCCCAGGCTGAAGGGGAAGTGGGTTTCTGCTCAAGGTCTGGTGTCCCCACAGAACACTTGTTACTTTTTAAAAAAATCTTTATTTTTACATTTAAATTTAAATTAGAAACAATGTTGTGTCACATGTCAATTCCAGGTCCCTCTCCCTTTCCCTCCCCTCCTCCATGTACTTATACTTTATATTTATTTATTATTTATTCATTTTTGGTTTTACGAGACAGGGTTTCTCTGTATTGTTTTGGAGACTATCGGTCCATCCTGTCCTCGAACTCACAGAGATTAGCCTGCCTCTGCCTCCCGAGTGCTGGGATTGAAGGCATGCACCACCACCGCCCGGCTCACTTATACTGTTATTTAGAAAATGATTTTTAATTCTTAGAAAGCAATTAGCTGTTATGATTTGTAATAAACGATCTAAACATTTCAATCTTAAACTACAAAGAGAAGACAGAGGATGAGTCTCCAAGACCTTTTCTCATTGTGAAATTGAAAATACTTTTAAATCTTTGGTTCCTTTGGATTGCAAATGAATGCTGTCAGAATGTCATTTAATAATTCCATGATTTTAATTTGTCACTCAATTGTGTGTCATATAAGACTGCACATTCTTACCTGCAAGCTAAAGTAAACTTTTTACCTCAGCATAATCATAAGTGCTTTAAAGTACTCCAGGATAAAAATCTATGCATACTTCATCTCACTTTATTGTGTTCCTTGGAATTTGTTTAACTTAGATCACATAAGAAGAAAAAAGGAATAATTTCTTTAGGATAAAAATCTTTTGTACTTGATAACTCTATGTTGTTAGCAAAATCCACAAATGTCGATATTTCTCAAGGAAATATGTAACAAATACTGTGATTGTGATGGGGAATGTTCTGTGTACATGTTTGTCTTATTGGTTGATGAATTAAACACTGATTGGCCAGGCAGGATGATAGGTAGTACTAAGATATGTGGTGGATTCTGGGAAGTGTAGGCAAAGATTAGTCATTATGAGATTCCAGGAAGTGACATATATGGACAGAAACTGCCACTAGCTAACTATAGTGGTCTCTACAGACAGGTAGGAAGTGACACAGCTGGGAAGAATCAGTATATAAGCAATGACAAACAGGAAATTGCTGTCTTCTCTTCTTTGCCAAGACTATGAACTGTTGAGATGTAAGACGCCAGAGGAGTAAGAGGTCCCTGGACCTTTCTCGAGTAAGATAAGACCATGTGGAAATACTTAGATTTATTGAAATGAGTTAATGAATAAGAATAAAAAACAGTAGCTAAAGGCCAACAGTTCCATAATTAATAAAGCATTTGTGTGTTTATTTGGGCCAGAGAAGGACTGAGGCACCTAGCCTGGCCAAAAACATCATGTTACATGAGTGAGAGTTGAATCTGATTAAGATAAAGCAAATAATATCACATAATTAACTGGTAGAAATAATTCTTTTAAAAATACATGTAAAACTTAGAACAACTGAAATCCTAAAATTGGCTTTTGCAAAAGGTATACATACAATTTTTTCAAAGCATGTTGCATGCATATTTTGCAGAATTTTAGAAATCTTTTATATTGCTAGATGAACATAGTCAGATAGGTAAGCAGCAGTTATTAACACATCTTTGTGTATCTGTTATCTCTTCATAAAGAAATGTGATATTCTATTCAGCAGTGTGACTACGTAAGAGGACTATAAAACTCAAATCTTAAGTTTTTATTCAGTAGTTGGAAATGTGGTACAGTATTGTCTTATCAAATATCCCAGTGAGAGATCACCCACCAGGAACATGGACATCTGTCATGGCTCGTATACTTGTGGTGTAATGTGTAATTATGATTATTCATAAACTACTGCAGATATTTGGTGATAAAATCCCAGAAGACCATGTTGTATTCTTTAAATTTAGTGTTTGATAACACAGACATATCTTTTTATCCAAGAAACAGTATTTTGGAAATGCAAGATGACATTAATTCATATTTTCATGAAAACCAGAATTTCCTGGTTTCTTAGAAGCCAATCTGTTTCCATGAGCAAACAGCATACTTACCAGAAAATCACTAATCCATTTTCTTTCAAAAATGCTGACATGTATATAGATGCATATATTTTCTCATACATAAGCAATTATATTACCTATTTAGACATATCTTATAAATAAACCTAGTCCTCAAAAAGGCATTTTAAATTTTCCTTCGATTTTTCTGCTTTTGATTCTGGAAAATATTTGCAAAAGTGGTACTTATTTAAACTCATTGAATTTTCTGAAACTTGCTGTACCAAGTTCTCAAGAGAGATACTGGGAAATACAGTTATCACAGTATTTTATATTGGAAGAAACCAAGCACAGAAGAACAAAATATTTGGTCAGGGAAATGATTCACTCCAGCTAATGTAGGCTTAAAACAGTGACTTCATTAAACAGAACAATGATCCCTTTGCCATTGGCATCATGAAGTTCTTAAGAAGGAAATAATCTCTACCAACAACAATTTGAGATTTTGTAATGATTTTATAATTACAAAAGGGGCATGCTTTCTTTAGAAGTACTCTATCAGGACACTTTGCTTTTCGTAGTGTGTGTTAACTACACAGAAGAAAGTTTTTCATTAAGATGTTTACATCAATGAGTATAACATACTTTGATCTTCTGAGACAGAAGATGGCACTAAGTTTATCTGTTCTAAGTACCTCACATGAACAGTGTCATTCGTGTAAATATAAGGCATTGTGTTAATTTAGGCAATGATATTTATTCTTATATTTGCTTAGGAAATTTTCCATGTAGAGTTTTGAAGATGTTCAACCTTACATGAACAAGAGAATTCTTGCTTTGTAGAAAAATTCACAAAAACTACACTAGAAGTTAGGGTCTAGCTTAGCCAGTGTTTTATTGCTGTGAAGAGACACCATGGTTACAGTTGCTATTATTTAAAAATAAAACATCTAATTGGAGCTTGTTTAAAGTTCAGAGTTTTAGTCTATTGTCATCATTGCAGGAAGCATGGCAGCGTGAAGGCAGACATGGTACCAGAGAAGAAGTTGAGTGTTCTATATCCACCTGGAAGGATGAGCCACTGGACCTGGCTTGGACTTCTGCAACCTTAAAGCATACTCTCATTGATATATTTTCTCCAACAAGGACACACCTATACCAACAAGCCAGAACCTCTGAAAACTCTGAATAAAACTACTTCCTGATAACTTAAATTCAAATATATGAGCCAAAGGAAGTCATTTTTATTAAAACCACCACAGGGTTTAAAAGAAATAAAAATAAAATAAAAAGCAGACTTAGAAGTTGCGGCTTTCTCTAACTTATGATATCATAGTGAGTTTTGACTGCTTGAATTGCTCTTTGAATTTAGATGAAGCATACCAAACATTCATAAGAATAAAATCTAAAATGTGACAGTTTTATTTATTTGAGTTCTGAATTGATATCATTTCCCTAAGCATTTAAACAGAGGTTATGAAAGAGCTAAATGTGGTGTTCTCAAGTGAATATGAAAAGAACTGAGTATGAAGAAAAGAAGACATGAGCTATGATTGATTTGCATACCAGATAGCAGGCCTCTGACAAATAGAGTTCTCATTTTATTTTGTTTTCATTATTTTAATGTGCATAATTTAAAACTGAGTTCACTTCATCAAACACCAGGATAGTTAATCTCTTTTAAATGATGTGTGGAGCAGTATCATATTTCAGGTTAAAATTGCAACTAGGCAACTCCAAAGAACCACATCATGAAAATGTTAATCACAAAATGTCTTCCACACTATGGAATTTAAAATCAATGCAAATACTACCAGATCTAAAATAATTTGTGAAATTCTTACCTCATCATATTTCTGAATTTTACGTATTATTTTCTAAGTATTGTGCCTATTTTAAAGAACATTGAAAGTAAGTAGATGATCTAGAGATTATTTAGTGATAAATCAAAATGCCTTGACATTGTATCATACATTTTCTAATTTTTATTTTTGACTGCTGTTATTTTTCAAAATTCTTAAATTACATATTAAAAAACTATTTACGATAGCAATCTGAAGGGACACACATATTTTTATTGACTGATTTAATGTTCTAAAATTGAAAAGCAACAGAATAAGAAAATAAATTATTTTGGAGTGAATAATTAACAAACCCATTTTAAAAGGGGATTAATTTACAATACATGGAAATTGTCACATATATAGCCTGTTAGTTAAAATAATAACTAAAAATATATTAAGATAATTTTAATGTTACAAAGAAGATACATTTGATTAAATGCTGTGTGGAAGATTGTGAAAGTATGACAGAGAGAAAGAAAGGAAAGTGAAGACAGGGAATGAGTCAAAAATGTATATCCATAAATATGAATAAAGAGAAATAGGAAAGAAATATCCTATTGTCAAAGATTGTTAAAAAGTGATAAATTTAAGACTACATAGTGAAATATTCAATCTGGAGATGAGGATTGGCATGGGGTTCATGCCCACAAAGCTTTCAGAAGAGTGTAAACTAACCTATCCTTCATCAATGACATACCTACATGACACATACATTCATCTAGATATTCATACACACCCAGAGAGTGAGTGAGTGAGAGAGAGAAAGAGAGAAAGATCAAGAGAGAGAAAGAGAGATAGAGAGGAGGGAATGAGGGAGGGAGTATGTATGATTGCAGAAATTTTCAATAATAATTTGTTATATTAATAATTTAGTTCTAAACATTTTCCCATATTTGAGTATCTGGTAATCTTGATGCTCACATAAAATTACACTGGAATGTGTTTGCACTTCAGTCTTTGTTTTTCCATATATTTAAACAGAAATAGATTTAGTGTTTAACTTTTGAGTATATATTATTTTGCACAGAGCCATTGTGGCTATCTTTCTACTCCTTTTTGTATTCCACTCTTTTAATTTTTTCTGGCTTTAGCTATTAATTTACTACTTATACTAGAGGCTTAGTTATTTATGAATGATATGTATGTAGCTTGTAGTATTGAGTAAATACAATATGACATTCAGCCCAATGCTAAAAATACTGACAACATTCACACAGTTTGTTTAATCCTTCAGAGATGATGAATAGTCCTGGCTGTGATACTGTATCAGTTGATGAAGAATTATTTCAGATGTTGTATGTTTTACTGATTGGTGTGAGTTTTCTGAAAAAAATAAGCTTCATAACTAAAATCAAGTCAGGCAATGATGATTTTGTATTTTATATTTTGAATAATCTGCTTATAATTTATCTCATATTTTTGAGATAATTTAATTGCATCATTCAATCTAGCAAATACAAGTTCTGAAAAACTATTTACTTTGATATTCAAGATTATAATATAATTCCATCAAGGCTATAATATCAGGGATCATTCCTATACTTTATTACTAGAGAAGTAGCCAGAAGAGTCTGGGAAGAGGTCTCGCAATCTCTAAGAGATAATGGTTGACAGCACAGCAATTATTTAAATCATCAAATATGGAGAAATATTTTGTGACAAAGTTCAATTTAAACAATATCTATCCACAATTCAATCCCCTCAGAGGGTAATAGTAAGAAAATTCCAACCAGCGGAAGTTAACTGCACCCACTAGGACACAGGCGATAAATAATAACCTATCAACAAATCTCAATGAACAGAAACACAGACACACACACCCACACACACACACACACACACCACTAACAACAACAACAACAAAATAACAGGAATTAACAAACATTGGTGATTAACATCTTTTAGTATCAATGGACACAATTTCCCTCAGTTCTACTCTCAGTGTTTCATAGTTGCCTACAATTTTTTCTACAGGGTTTAGGTCTAAAGGATAAAATCAAATTACCAAAATATACAAAGTGCTTACTTTTACTAAATATTAGCTAACCTAGAAGGAAATATGCAACTGTGTGTTCCTTCTGTTAATCAAACAATGCTTTCACAGTTCTTCAGCCTGGAAAAAACCTGCAGGAATCTACATGACAAATCACACTTAAAGGTCTTTATAGCTGCATTTCTACAACTTTCTAAACTTCTTTGATCTTACTTGTTTTCATACTCTTTTGTATTAAGTATAAATTGTGTTTATTTTTGAGATTTTCTACCAGTATTCAACAAAATATGAACATATCCACTCTTATTCCCTTCCTCCAGGACCCAATGTATTCCACCCAACCTATCTTCACTGCCAAATTCATACTCACTTTCCTACTTTAAGTATATTTAATACTGCCTGTATGTTCGTGTGTGGGGTACCATTCACTGGGGCAAGAGATGTGTAGTGATTGTAATATTCTCAAAAGAGAATGATTCTCTGTTCCCCAAGTACCAACTGAACATAACCGTTCTGTAAGTAGTAGGGTCTGTAGACCATCTCCCAACCCATGCTAGCTTTTTTGTATGTCATGATCTTCTGTGGAACCTGTGTACTTAACCACAGAAATTGTGAGTTTATGTGTATGATACCTATAATATGTCAACACATGTATTTTTCTTTGTTGAATATACTATTTAATTCACAGTTCAAAGTCATTATTTTACTTCACTAATTCCATAAGCTGCTAAATGTTTACAAGAAATGTATAAATAAACATGCTTCTACATCTCTTTTCTTGTTAATTTGTCTTTAGTTATATGAATTCTAAGAAAACACTTGCAAAAAACAGTGTTTATGTTTACTACACAGCAGGAAGCTAAAAGAGGTCTCTGCATAAGTGCCATCTAGGACTTTCTACCCAGCAAACAAAAGAAATGCAATTTTACAAATGCCTTTCTGAATTTAGAAACACATCTTTTTCAGTTGAGTATTGTAAGGAATGAAACCCAAGACATCTAATTAATCTTAAGAGTGAAACAGAGAAAGAAAACCACAGAGAGTACAGCACGAATTAGGAAGATATTAAACATGTTGTAATGTTTTCAAGTTTTTAAAGATTTCATTGTCTCTTGAAATTCAATAGCTAATTTACATGGAGATTTTCATATAGTATACATACACATTGATGTGTTGAATGGTAGAAACCCCTAAAGGGGTTTTCTAGTGAAAAGAAAATTGTGTGCACAGGATAGCTAAAACAATGGAATGAGATGCAAAGGCACTCTTTAAAATAATGATTTTCTAGTTTTTTGAGAATTTAAAATAATGTATTTTGATAATACTCAATGGCTTTCCAGACATCTTTTAGATACATCTTCCTTGCTTAACCATTCAACTTTTTGTCTACTTTATTTTTCATCTATTAAGTACAGATTTCAACTGGATTTATGACCTTCACCAGAGTATGGTCCTATCACCAGGGTCCACCCATTTAAAGTCCATACACCCTCACCTGTGTGGATTAAACACATAAGTGACTAACACTGAGCCAATTACAAAGCATCAGTGTTAAATTAAGGAAACCTTTAATAGCCAAGAGGTTTAGATTGGAGCTTTATACTTCATTCTCCCCGTGTCTCTTTCCATGATTGAATCTGTGCTTGTCTCAACACAGTTTTGTGAATCAGTTTCTGTATCTCTGTGTGTGTGTGTGTGTGTGTGTGTGTGATATTACTATAAGTGTGTATGTATGTGTGTGTGTGTGTGTGTTTAGCAGTCTATGATAGCCTTTGTGTGTCTGTTCCTAACAAAGGAATTTTCACTGAACAACAGAAAAAGCACCCTGTGGGGAGGGAATGGGACACTATTTAGAAATATTTGACTGCATTTGCCAAGAGATTAAGTTATTAACACTAACTGATTTCAAGTGACTCAGACACTAAGCAGTACTATATACATTATTGTCTAACCAAACAATATCAATAAGTGATGCATTTGACATTCCTAATGAAGTTTAGAGCTGTGATTTCAACATTTATAATTTGCTGCTTTCACTAAATTATACAGTTATTTTTGTGTCATGTGCATAGAAAAGTACATAAGATTATAGCTATGGATTTTCTTAGATTATAAAGGTAATTGGGAAATCTCACTCAAGTAAGGTTGATTCTTACTTTATACTCTTAAAAGCTTATTACATAGCCTGAGTATACAGTGAGACAAGTGACCTTAGTGACTTTAAATGGTGATACTATGACTGTGAGGTCCATACAAAGGCCCAGTCTCTTAGGATATAAGAGATGTTTTTATAAAATTGCATCTCCACACTCACCCAGGAATGATACACTGCAAATAACTCCTAAGTATCTCCCCACTTTGTGCTTAATTTTGCCAAGGCCAA